CCCATGGGGCCACGAAGCGCGCGTGGGGTGTACCAATGGACGCATGCGGGCGTCATCACCGGAGCCTCCAACGGAGCACCCCACGGGGCCACGAAACGGGTGTGTCAGACTGGGCGGGTGGACGCGAACTTTGCCACTGGGGCCTTCGGCGGAGCCTCCCTATGGTGCCACGAAGCGTGTGACGGGTGTGCCGAACTGGGCGGCGGGAACGCGGACGCATTTTACCACAGGGCTGGACCTAAACGTTGTTTTCTTGTTTGTTTTCGTTTTGTTGTTCGTTTCGCTCTACCTGTTTTCGTGTACCTCCTTCCCACAACGAAAAAGAAACCACAGCCGAAGTCCAGCAAAACACCGGTTAGGTCCAGCCCTGCTTTACCACTAGGGCCTTCGGCGGAGCTCCCTATGTGGCCACGGAGCGTGTGAGGTGTGTGCCGACACCGGCGGCGGGAGCGCATGCGAACTTTGCCACGGGGGCCTTCGGCGGAGACCCCCTTATGGTGCCACGAAACGTGTGAGGGGTGTGCCGAACTGAGCGGCGGCAGCGCGTACGAACTTTTTCCACTCGGGCATTCAGCTGAGCTGATTATGGGGTTACGACACGGGTGAATGGTGTGCCGAACTGAGCGGTGGGAACGCGTACGAACGTTTCCACTCGGGCCCATGGGAGCTGATTATGGGGCCACGGAACGAGTGAGGGGTGTGCCGACATGGGCGGCAGCAGCGCGTACGAACTTTGCCACTGGGGCCTTCGGGACAGCTCCCTATTGGGCCGTGTGTGAGGGGTGTGCCGACATGGGCGACGGAAGCGCGTACGAACTCTGCCACTGGGTCATTCGGCGGATCTCTTCATGGGGCCACGAAACGTGTGATGGGTCTCGCACAGGAGGGCTGAAAACAAGACGCTGAAGCAGACGCTGAAGACGATGACAGTAACGATGACAATGATGCTGATGATGACGACAAGGACATGCGGGCATCAGAGGCAGTGATGAGATGAAGGAAGAGAGAGGGGAATGTGAGGAGTGATGCAGGCCGCTGCTGATTCAAAACGAGAAACCAACGCCACATGACGCTGGGAATCAGGAAGACGCGAATGGGGGGCATCGGGGGGGATGAAGGCACTCTCGTCGTTGAAGACACGATCGGCTTGCTAAGATGTGCCGACCGTGCTGCTACTGATGATGCTGGTGCTGACACGAAAACCCTTAGTGAGACGGGCACCGGTACAGGAAACTCCTATGATGCCGAGGGGGCTGGTGTGAACTCTACAGCTACTGGTACTGATGCGGATCCACCCTGTTGCTGACACTGAACCGTGGCCTGTTTACACTGAAGTCGCGACTACTACGGTTACTGCAGCTGCTACTTTTAGGACTGCTGCTGCTACCACGGATGGTGTCGTTAATCTTGCTGCTACTGGTGCGCTAGCTAATCTTCCCACTGGGACTGCCACTGATACCGCTACGGGTAACGACCGCAGTTCAGACGGTGCAAGCCCCAGATCTTCTCATAGCGCCTGGATCGGCTACTGACAATATGCTGCTACGGCTGCTTTCATTGCTGCTGCGGCTGCAAGTGCCAGTGCCGCTGCTACTGAAACTGACGCTGGCGATGACACCGATGCACGCACTGCTCTCGACACGCCCGCCACCACCGCCAGCTGCCACCGCGAGACAACTACGACCATCATCAGGGGCGTCCCAAACAGAGGCGTCCAAGAAGGGAGGCCGCGAATTATGGCCTGAGGCACGTGCGCGGCCGCGGTGGGGCCAGTGAGCGCACGGAGAGAGAGAGACAGAGAGAGGGATATATATATATATAATATATATATATATATATATATATATATATATATATATTTACATGTACATCTATATATATATATATAACACAAGGAGAGGCGATGACATCAGGGAAGATATCATGTGCAAAGCGAATATATGTCCGTATCCACCGCCCGTGGAACCAACGTCCCCGGACCCCAGCGGGCGGTGGATATGGACGTGTTCGGGCCACCGGAGGCCCCGAATCTATATTTGTATCCGCCGCCTACATTCACTCTCCCTCCCGCCGGTGCGCGCGAGCTTCCTGCAGCATCGCGTGCTTCGCGGACTGCTGCTCCGCCTCTCCGGCGAAGGCGCTCCTGCACCTCCTCGTCCGTCTCTTCCTCACCTCCTCGCCCCGCCTTTACCCCTCCCCTTCTCTGCATCCTTCCCTCCCTGGTCGTCCTTGCTTCCCTTCCTCGTCGTACCCCTTCCGTTCCCTCCTCTCTGCCAATTATTTCTCCCGAGCTCCCTCTTTCTCACACACCGCCTCGTTACTTTCGGCCATCTCCTCCATGTTCGGCGGTCCTTTTGTTCATCCTTATCCCCCGCACTCCTCATCGTCATCACCACCACCATCATCATCATCACCATCATCTTCACTGCCGTTGTCATCGAAACCGTCATCATCATCCGCATCACCATCGTCGTCATCATCATCACCCCCGTCGTCGTGATCGTCATCGTCATCGGCATCGTCATCGCCAGCATGATCATGATCATGATCGTGATCATCATCAATATCGTCATCAGCAGCATCATCAGCATCATCATAAGCATCGTCACAATCATCAATACCATTAATGACATCATCAGCATCAGCATCAACATCACCATCATCATGATCAACATCATTAATACTAGTACCTTCTTCTTCATCACTATCACCATCGCTATCAACAACATCAACATCATCATCACCGTCAGCCGCATCTGCATCAACATCATCAACAACATCATCTTAATCAACATGAACATGATCATCGTCAACAACCTGCCTGAGCCGGGCCTGCGGGAAACGACACAGAGTCTAAGACCCGTGTCCCTCGGGGCCCCGCTCCTTCACGGCGAAGAAGCAAGTGCGGACTTGACGTCCGCATCGCTCGGGCTTGGCGAAGAAACACGTGCGGACTATGAATGCGGTGTTCCGCATCGCTCTCGCAGCGCCTTGCGTCATCTGGCGACAGAACCGTGCTCCTTCTGGCCACTTCGCGACAAATGTGCGCTTCGCCAGCGCTGCAGTTTCCACAGGGGGACGCAGTGCGAAATCTGCGGAGCAGACCTGACATGGTGTGGAACGCACGCGTACTTGCCCTGAGCGGGATGCCGACCTGACCATAATGGAGGGCGATCCCAAGAACCCGCAGATCGAGGGGTGGTCGTAACACTATCAGGGTCACCGGGCAACATAGCCGAAGCAGGACGCACTTGCCAATCGACCTGTCACTGGGCGCGCCAGTGGCAAAGCCGAGCGCTGCTGCCACGAATCCGCCGACCCCTTGGGGTCACAAGCTGTGGGGGGGGTCGCCCCTCCCCCTTGCCATCGCTCGGAAGTCCATTCCCCGTTCATTTTTCGATTTCGTGCGTGCATGTTTTCGAGAGATGGTCCAACACGCTCCTCGATGGTCTCCGCCGAGAAAAAACGCGCACGTCCGAGCGATGCCGAGCCCCCTGCAGTTCATGCCCTCCGCTGGGCCAGGCACGATGCTTGTTCGAGCTGTGGGGGGGGGGGGGGGGGCGATGGCCCGGAACGACGGGGGATGAGCTCACCCAGGGGCCTTGGAAGGGCTGCTGGGTCGCCCAGGTGGCGCCACAAACTCCTGTGGAAGTGGGGCCCCATTCCGCCTCCCGAGCGGTCCGTGAAGGCTGCGAGACGACCCACGAATTTCAGGTCGGGCATGTCCACCTACAGGCGGATCTTGGACAAAAAAACATATTTGAAAAATAGTCAAGATTGGTCAAGAAATCCTCCTCTGACTCATTTTCTGACTTACAAAAATCCTCCTGTAGAGGGGCATGCCCGACTTAACGCGAGAGCCCCAGGAAGGCTCAAGATGGCCTCAAGACTGCTCACGAGGTCCCCCCAGGACACTCCGACAACAGAGTCCCCACGAGAGCCTCCAGAGGGAACAACCTCAGATGCTCCTGGAATGTTCGAACGACTTGCACGTGTCTAGAGGCCTCCTAGATGGGATCCGAAAAGATTGGGATCGGAGGATCGCGCCGCAACGCCGATACATCGGCGATGAATCGCGAATGCATCGGCGATGCATCAGCGATGCATCGGCGACGTCGGCGACGTCGGCGACGCCTCCGACCCCATCTACTCCGACCCCATCTGGGAGGCCTAGAGTGTCATGTCCTCGCCTTTGCCTGGCTTCTGTAACACCAGTGCGGCCCAAAAAGAGCCCCTGCTGCTACATTTGCGGACGACTCGCGCCAAAGCCGTCTGGGAGGTAGCCTTTACCAAGCTTTCCCCGACAGCGCCTGCGCGAATCACGACGCTGCGGGCACCCTGCCCCCTAACCCCATCCCAAGTCTTGCCGGCTATCTCCAGGGGATAAACATCGGCGGCGAGCCAGGGGGGAAGTGGCCTCCAGAGGCTCCCAAAGGGTCCCCAAGCAGCCCCTGGAAGGCCCCGAAGAAGGCCCCCAAAAGTCCCCCCGAGATGTTTCCAGGAGCCCTCCAGGAGGCCCCTGAGAGGCATCCCACGAGCCCCTCACATGCATCCAAGAAGCTCCTGACCCACGAACAAATTTCCAAGATCTTCGCAAGCACTTGTTCTTTCTCGGGGGTCGGCGGAATGGCGTAAGCCACTTGGATACACATCGGCGGTTAGCCCGAGGGGGGGGAGAGAGAAGAAGAAGGCCTCCTCAGAAGGACCGGAAGTCCCCCGGCCTTCCGAGAAGCTTTCTGAGCCGTCCCCGAAGATACAGAACGCTTCTCAGAAGGCTGGGAAGGCTTCTGAGAAGCCCCGTCGCCTTCTGAGAGGGGGGCCCCGGGGCACACACATAAATAGACACAAATAAAAGGACTCACCATATCTTCGTATAGTTTCTGGGTTTTTGTCTTCCCCCCCATTTCCCATATTTTCCCATATTTTCGGGGGCATCGACGATTCATTGTGTCTGTGTGTGTTTCCCCTCCTGACTCTGAGAAGGCCTGCTCGCGTGTCTGTGTGTGTTTTTGTGATTATGTGACCGTGTGATTTGTTGTGTCTGCGTGAAACACTTAAGGAACGCGGAGCCCCTCCCCAACCAAAGGGTTCCTTCTTCAGGGCCCCGACTGTAAAGCCAACTGACAAAAACAAGATTGTGGCTCAGCCAGAACTGTTCTGCGGACATGCCCTGCAAGCCACAAACGGCTCTCAGAACATTCCTCGGCACGGCAGGATCGAGTGGTGCCGACTCGGGCGTGGATTTCTGGGACAGAGGGGATCATTCAACCTGGAACGATCGGCCGTTTCCGAAACGTCAGCTCGTTCAGCATCGACCGATTCTGGGTCGCCAGAAGCGTTCCACGTGGAACGCCGCCGGCGGGGTCGCCGCCGGTCGACCAGACGCGAGCCTGCCGCAGGCACGTCGGGACGGCCATGCCCTCTGCAAGCCACACGCGGCACTCAGAGCACTCCTTGGCGGGCAACTCAGGACGCTTCGCCACTGCTTCGGTCAATAACTCGTCGTCGCCGTCGCCGTCACCGTCGCCGTCGCCGCCGCCGCCGTCGTCGTCGTGGTCGTCGTCGTCGTGGTCGTCGTCGTCGTGGTCGTCGTCGTCGTCGTGCGGGCGACACGCGCGCAGGCGCGAGGCCCAGGCACTCGCCGAGCGGCGGCGGGGGCGCCGCGGGGCCTCCGCGGCGTGCCTCCGCGCGAGCCGCTGCAGCTCGCAGCCCCGCAGCCAGGACAGCACCGCCCGCACCAGGCGCTCGCGGTCGGCGGCGCCCCGCCGCACCTCGCGGGCGGCCCTTCGGCGGCCCCTCGGCGGCGGCCCTCTTCGGCGGCCCTCGGCGGCGGCCCCCGGCGGGGGGCCCGCTCGGAGGAGGGCTGGACCCGAGCGCTGCGTTTCGTTTCGTGCTCGTTCTGTTTGTTTGTTTGTTTGTTTTCGTGCTCGTTTTCGTTCTGTCTGTTTGTTTTCGTGCTCGTTCTGTTTGTTTCCGTTTTGTTGTCTGGTTGTTCTCGTTTCGTGCTCGTTCTGTTTGTTTTCGTGTACTTACCCCATCTGCCTCTGGACGCCCGGCATCGGTGCGGGAAGAATGGGAACAATGCCCAACAGCAAATGCTGCCCCAAACCAACAGCGGCCGCTGTCAGGCAGGCGGCCTTCTGCCTCAAATGGACACAGGCCGCGGCGGCGCGGACAGCGAGTCCTGTTCAAAAATGATCAGGAACTGAAGTTGGGCATTGTACCCATTTTTTCCGTACCCATTTCGGGCGTCCAGACTGCCAAAGCAAAACACAAAACACGGCCGAAGTCCAGCAAAACAGCGTTTAGGTTAATCCCTGTTCAGAGGAAGGAACGGTGCCGACAAAAGCCCATAGGGGGCCGCGACTCCAATCCCGAGCGATGCGTCGAAGGATGCGCATACCGCTACCGCCACGGCCGGTTTCGCCTCGAGATCCTGGTCAGAATGCGCTGTGGGAGGCCCAACCACGAATTGTGTCCAAAGCCGACTGCGGCCGCTCGTCGGCAGGCGGCCTCCTGTTTCACGTGGGCTATGTCCGCGGCGACACCGACAACGAGACCTGTTCAAAAAAGGGGGCAACTGCTGCCAGTTTTCGTACCCAATCTTTCCGTACCCGTCGGTCGGAAAAAATGGGTAGACACATGAAGTATAAAGGTGTTCGAAAAGGATTGGACGTCTGCCCGTCCCGTGAAGAGAAGGGAACAGGGAACACCGCTCGACTCTTGAAGCAGGAAGGCAGCGAACGCAGATTGGCATCAAGGAATCCAGAAAAACTTACTTTCCACGACCGGCGTGGGCAGTCGGACCTGGGCCAAGGGAACATCCCTCAAGAACATGAGACCCTCCGTCGCCCAACACAAACAGAACTTCAAAGGGCACACTCCCCAGGAGGCACAATAACATCCAACACACACGAAGAACGACAGGATACACTCCCCGAACCGACCTCGATCTTATGCCTCGGCCCCACTGCACCACTTCCGATCGTGCCGACCCTCCTCCTCCTCCTCCTCCTCCTCCTCCTCCTCCTCCTCCTCCTCCTCCTCCCCCTCCCTCACCCCCTCCCCCTCCTCCTCCTCCTCCTCGTCGTCGTCGTCCTCCTCCTCCTCCTCAACCTGCTCCTCCTCCTCCTCCTCCTCCTCCTCCTCCTTCTCCTCCTCCCCCTCCTCCTCTTCCTCCTCCTCTTTTTCTTCCTCCTCCTCCTCCTCCTCCTCCTCCTCCTCCCCTCCCCCAGCAACCTCCTCCTCCTCGTCCTCCTCATCGACTTCCCCGTCCTCCTTCGCCTCATCCTCCTCCTCCTCTTCCAAATATTATTTATCTGCTTCGGCGTATTACCAGTCTTGTTTATCGTCTTCTGTTTTTTTTAGTGCTAGTATTATATTGCTGTTATTAGTGGTAGTGTTATTCGTATTCGTCTTCGTCTCCGTCGTCGTCTTCGTCGTCGCCTTCGTCGTCGTATGATGTTCAATAGTACGATTATGGTTAGTCCGCTTCTTCATGTTTTTCTGTTCTTCCTAGTCCTCCTCCTCCTTCTCCTCCCTCTCCTCCTCTTGTTCCCCACCTCCCCTCCCCCTCCCTGTCCCCCTCCTCCTCCCCCCCTCCTGTTTCTCCTTCTCCTCCTGGTGCTCCAGAGCGTTCAGAGCGTTCTGGAACGTTCTGGAACGGACTTATCCTCGTCCGTGGGGAAAGCAACATATACCGATACTGGTACTCCCCGGACCTCTCCCAGGGTGCGTTCTGACCGCAGTTTCGAGGTGAATCCAGCGGTGGCGACGAGGGCCTCACAGAATGCCCAAACAGGGGGAAAACGGGCGAAGGGTACCTGTTCCTCCTCTGAATCCTAGCCCCTCAAGGGCTAGCCCCTCGGATTTGTACGGTCGGACAGGGCCTGTCCGACCGTACAAATCCGCTCCCAGAGGCAATCCCCGCCGAGCTGGTGGCACTCCGTGCCGGTCACTCGCCAGGGGCTAGGCCCGGAAGGGGGTGCATCGAGCCCTGGGGGGTGGAGCGGCCAGCCCCCCGAGAGCTGGGTGGCGGTGGTTCTTTCTCCTCGGGCAGCAGGAGTAGGTGTTAGGTTGGGCCTGTCCCCCCACGGGAAGATTTTAGACGAGAAATTGAAATAACCCCCCCCCAAAAAAAACTCCCAAAACGCTCAAACATAACCAAAGAAATCGTACCCAGACTATTTGTTGACTATTTTTGAATACTCCCCTTGAAGAGGGCCAGGCCCGACTTAAGACTAGAGACGAGGGGGCCGAGGAGAGAGGCAGGGGAGGGCGGCGGCATCGGGGAGCGGACAGTGACGGGGACACAAAAAAAACTCGGAGGTCCGCGCGGATGTCTGGGAGCCGCGCAGGGCCCCCCGGCAGCGCCTCCGGCGCTGCCCCTGGCGCGCTCCGCGCGCCAGGCAGGGAGGGTCCAGCGCGGACTCAAAACATCCGCGCGGACCTCTGCATTGAGGCCCCAGGACACACAAATAAATACTCACAAATGAAAATATTCCCCATATTTTCCCATATTGTCTGGGTTTTTGTCTTCCCCCCACTTCCCATATTTTCCCATACTTTCCTCTGTGTCATTTCTCGCTCCCCCAGGGAAGGAGAGGAGACCGATCCAAGTCGACGGAGGTCGGCAGAAGGTCGATCGAGGCAGAAAAGGAGAGGGGAGGCCGCGAAAGGTGGGGACAAGACGGGAGCAGGTGAGGAGGAAGAGGAGAAGGAGTAGGAAGAGGCGGCCGACCCAGATCGGCGAATATCGGAGAGAGCGTGATCCACCGCCGCTTCACTGTGGAAAATTGCCACCCTTTTCCTCCGGAACCCGGGGTTCCCCCCCCTCCGAGAATCCCCACCCCCCCTGCTGGACCCCCCCCCCTCACACAGCAAAACCCCCCCCATCCCCTACCCCCCCCCCCCCACCCTCCCCCTCGAAAACCGGGTGGGGGTCACTACCTGTTGGACCCCCCCCCCCTCGAAAACCGGAGGGGGGGGTCACTGCCGGTTCGAACCCATCCCCACCCCCCCTCTCCCTGCCAGCAAACGACTCTTGGTCCCTACCACCGTCCTCACCACATCCCCCACTGTTGTTCCCAGCACCACTGTCCTCACCACCACTGTCCCCACTGGTTCCACCACCGCCCCTACTGTCCCCACCAGTGCCACCACCACTGTCGCACTGTCCCCACTGTCCCCACCACTGTTCCCACCACGGCTCCACTCTCCCAACTTTCTCCACGGCCCCAACCACTGCCCGACTATCCCCACTGTCCCCACTGTCCCACTGACTCCTCCGCTGTCCCACTGAGCTGTCCCACTGTTCCCACCACTGTCCCCACTGTCCCCACCACTGTCCCCACTGTACCTCTGTCCCATTGTCCCACCGCCGTCCTCGCCACCGCCTTCACCACTGTCCCCACCACCACTGTACCCTCCACTGTCCTACTGTTTCCACCACATTCCCACTGTCCCCACACCACTGTCCCCACCACCACCGTCCCCACCACTGTCCCACTGTCCCCACTGTTCCCACCATTGTCCTCACCATTGTCCCCACCACTACCGACTCCACCACTGTCCCACTGTCCCCACCACTGTCCCGCTGTCCCCTCACCACTGTCCCCACCACCACCGTCCCCACCACTGTCCGCCCCCCCCTCGGTTTTCGAGGGGGGGAGGGTTCGAACCGGTAGTGACCCCCCCCGGTTTTCGAGTTCGAGGGGGGGGGGTTCGAACCGGTAGTGACCCCCCCCTTTTCATGATGAACTGGGGGGGAGGGGGGAGGGGTTCGAACCGGTAGTGACCCCCCCCGTTTTCCGGAAGGGGGGGGGGGGAGGGGTTCGAACTGGTAGTGACCCCCCCTGGTTTTCCGCAAGCAGCGGTATAGAACACGCTCTTTCGAATATCGACATGCTGTCGATCGAGGCCGTTACACGTCGATCGAAGGCCGATCGGGGACGGTCCCAGCCGTGCGAGGAAAGAAGGTACGGGGACGTGGAAGAAGGAGGGAGGCCAGTCCAGGCAGACGAAGGTCAAGAACAGTTCAATCGATATCAGGGAAACAAGGAAAAGGTCGGTCGGGAACGAAGAAGGTCGTTCGGGAGTGGGTATGGCTCGATCGACCGTCGGCATGGCTCCGTGACGGGTCCTCGATCGATGAAGGACGTAGCGTCGATGGACGCCGGATCGAGGCCCTAGAAGGTGGACAGACGAGAGAGGAGGGAATGGAGGACGAGACAGCAGGAAACACGGGGAAGCAGTACGGCGGTCAGATGTAGGAGGTGGAAGGGAGGGTGAAACTGAAGAGGATCGATGTAGTGCGAGGATGGGGACAACCACGGTGAAAAACCGAGACATCCGCTGGATTGCCCTGGAGGTATCTAGACCCAATGACCGTGGGCGATGTTTCGCCTTGGACTCATCTCTGGATGGCCCCGCGGAGCCTGAACGCGGCCCCCCGGAGGAGGCTCACGCCGGGGAAGGGCGCCGGCGTCGAACGGATCGCTCCGCCCGAAGTCCAGCACGACGTCCGCGGCGGCGATGACGGCGGCGGCGGCGACGACGCAGCCGGCGGAGAAGGCGCGGGCGCCTCCATGCCTGCCTCCACGCCCCTCAGCCGCGCCGCTCTCGTCGTCGCCGCCGCGCCGTGAGCGGCTCCTGGAGGAGGAGGAGAGGGAGGAGGAGGAGGAGGAGGAGGAGGAGGAGGAGGAGGAGGAGGAGGAGGAGGATAATGAGGAGAATGAGCAATGGGAGGAGGAGGAGGTACTCGGTGTCGGAGGGGGGAGGGGAGGAGGGAAAAGGGGAGGCGGGAGGCAGGAGGGAGGAGGTAGGTAGGGAGGAGGGAGGGAGAGGGAGGAGGGAGGAGGGAGGGGGAGGAGGAGGAGGAGGAGGAGGATGAGGAGGAGGAGGAGGAGGAGGAAGTACTCGGTGTCGGTGTCGCGCGGGGGAGGAGGGGAGGAGACACGGGAGGAGCTGCTCGCGGGCAGCTCGCGCGGCGGCGCTCGCAAGGGGCACGCCCCCCGCGCTCGGGGGGGGGGGGGCAGGGAAGAGGGAGGGGTGCGGGGATGAAGGGGAGGCGGAAGGGGGAGGGGGGGATGGATGGGGAGGGATGGAGGGGAGGAGGGCGAGGGAGGGATGGATGGGGAGGAAGAAAGGGGGGAGGATGGAGGGATGACAGGGAAGGCGGGATGGATAGTGAGGAGGGGAGGATGGAGGGATGGAGGGGAGGAGGGATGGAGGGGGGAAGCGGGGAGGGGAGGGAGGGAAGGGAGGGATGGAGGGGGGAGCACGGGAACCCTCCAGGCCACTGAAGCTCGGACCAGCGCCCCCGAGCCCATCACCTGGCAGACAGAAAAATAGGGAGGGAAAAGGGCAGGGAGACGGGATGGCTGGGGTCTGGGGGAAATGTCTTCGCGTGAGGTCCCAAGGACAGCCAACAACACAAGACTCAATACGAAGAGTTGGGGGTGGGGGGAAGACTGGGGAGTGGGGGCAGGACGTTTTTTTCCCCATCATCCGCATCTTCCGCTTCATCATCCCCCTGCGTTGTTTCATTGTCCCTCTCCTCCGCCGACGACGACCTAATTACGATGGAGATGAAAACGAAAACGGAAACGAATACGATCGACGCCAGCGACGACCGACGACGATGACGACCGACGACTGACGGCGAACCACGACGACGACCGACGACGGCGAGCGAGCGAGCAACAGGCATCGGGGACATACACACGACCATGCTACTACAGTGGGGGCGTTGACCTAAGGAACGCTAAACAAGGAACGAGGCCCCTTTTTTCCCATCAATTAAAGTTCGATTTCCCATCGGAAACCTAAGGAAACCCTAAGGCAAGCTGTGAAACAATCAAGGAACACGGAGCCCCTCCCCAACGAAAAGGGTTCCTTCTTCAGGGCCCCGACTGTAAGTTTGCAGACGCCGTCGCGCCACTGTCCTGCGTCAGTTTTCCTGGCCGGATCGACCTCTGAGGGCCCCCGAACCCCGAGGCTCGACGACAACGACTTGTTTCGAACACATGCAACGCATGACTACAGTCGGGGCGTTGACCTAAGGAACCCTAAATAAGGAACGAGGCCCCTCCTTTCCCATAAGTTAAACTTCGATTCCCCATCGAAAACTCTGGGAAAACCTGAAGCAAGCTGTGAAACAATCCAGGAGCACGGAGACCCTCCCCAACGAAAAGGGTTCCTTCTTCAAGACCCCTACTGTATCATGGATCGCTGCCTCAACTGGCCACCGCCCTGTGGCCGACCTGCTCCACGACCGACGGTTGATTAGGGACCGCCCGTCCCCGCATTCCGTTGGGCTTACCACGGAAGTATCAAAACAGCATGGCAGACCACAACATGTTTTCAGGAACGCTTCTGCCACGCGTTAGTGTCGTGCCGACCCTGGCGTTGGTTGCTGACACAATGGGGATCGTCAGCCTTGAACGATCGGCCGTTCCGAAACGACAAATCGCCGACGTCGACCGATTCTGCCTCGCCGG